CTCTCTCTCTCTCTCTCTCTCTCTCTTCTTCTCTCTCTCTCTCTCTCTCTCTCTCTCTCTCTCTCTCTCTCTCTCTCTCTCTCTCTCCACTCCCCGAGCGATTCGCAAATTGATTCGACGCAAGTGGCGCCGCGTCGCTGTTGTTCCCCTCGAAAAAGGGGAGGAGGAGGAAGGAGGGAAGGAAGGATTCGTAGAATTAGATGATCGAATCAAGCGTGTGAAAAAGATATCGCGCAAATAAAATATACGAATCGACGTTCACCGTCGTTCGGATTTCGAGGGAGAAATGATTTACCGCACTGTATCGACAGATTTTGTCGCTCTTATCTTTCCGCGTGGGGCATAACTTGGGACACTTGGTATCGATAACACGCTGTTGCGTTCAAATGTCATCCTAGACGAAGCGATACACGATGGGTTATCGTTAATTAGGAATAATTTTTAACCACCCTCCGTTCGATTTGAATTTCCCGTGGATTCGAAGAATATTCGCAAAGAGTGGCGGGAGCAAGTAGTTGGCGAAGGAAATGTAAAGCGAACTTGGTTATCCAATTTAACGTTCGGAAGAAAAAGGAAGAAGAAGGGGGCGTACTTCAATTATCGATCTCTACTCACCCAGTTCTGACGAAGTTGGCGAAGAACTGCACGATGCTCTCGGAGAGTGCCACTTCAGACCTCGTGTAGTTCCTCGGAAAGTGACCGAACCCGTCCACCAACGGTGCCCCGAACACGAACGGCAATTCCTCGCCGTGGACCGAGCCCATCTTCTGAAACCAACAGCCAACCGAGCCCTGATTATTAATCCCTGTATAATCGACAAATCGATTAATTTTCATCCTCTCCGTTCGAACGAATAATTGAAAAATAGCATAGAACAGTGTTGGAATCTCAGGGGGTACGGAAAGCGATTACTTTGCGAGTCCAACTTCGAATTCGAGAATTAAGAGCGTGTTTAAACCAGCCCCTTGCGACCCATTTCTCTTTCCACACCCAAGTTGCGGGGGTGTTCGAATGGCGCGACCCTTGCCAAATCCAGCAACTGCTACTCGCCGCGTTTCCTGCTTTTGCTCGGTAATTATTCGCTCGATGGAGAAATCTACGAGGGGGTAATTCCTTGCTTATCGGCCCCGGGAGGGATTAACGAAACGGATTCTGCCGCAGTCTCGATCACGCTGGACACGTCAGGCTGCCGCTACTAGTAATTTCATTTCTTTCCCCCCGTCGATTTATCGTTATCCTCATTTGCAAGATAAAATCGAATCGAATGTCTCGCGATGTATCGCCGATGAGGACACCGAGTATACGAGACGAATCGATATTTTTTTTCTTACCACTACGATAAAAGATCGAGTGAGAAATAAACAGGTGAACTCGTTATATACGCGATCGATATACTTTCCATTTTCTGGGAATAGTATTCGAAGATATATATATATATATGTAAGAAAAAATTTCTCTCGTGTATATTTCATTCGCTCGAAGATTCGATGGTAATTAATTAAGCAGTATACGCGCCTGACTAAGCACGTACTTGTGCTACTTAGAGTTTCCAAACTCGTAGTTTATTCGCGACTCGTCGTCTTTTATCAGATTATTGTTAATTATTAATACACGAATCTTTTATACATGCAAGGGAGCGCATGCGGGGGGAGGGATTAAAATGTTTAATAAAAAATAAATAAATTGAACGAAATTACGATATTTCTACGCACGTAGAATTTACGCGAACGTGATTCGGTAGAATTGAATGAATTTAATTTCGCGGAGAGGGAAGGAAAAGGATTGCTCTTTTCCCCATTAATTTCATAAATTATCCACCACCTGTCCTTCCGAATAAAGGCCTGGATTTTCGAAAGGGGCAAATTAAGCGGATGATGGACAATTAGCGTAGTTAAAGGCCCGTTACACTCGTACACCCCGATCGGCAGTCTTAACGGACGATTAACGCGAATCACTGCCCGACAACGAGTTTCTTCGTTAACGACGCCGATTTCCTGTTCGCCTCGTTCTTCATTATGTTCGTTAATCCGACTAATCGCTCGATTTTCATTCTCATCGCCATAAATCGTCGTGGAGTATTCGAATACAATTCCCCTCCCCACCTCTTCTCTCTCTATCATCCTCGCCACGATATATCGTATCCATTGAATTCGTTCCACGATCTCTCGGTGTGGAAAAATTTTTTCAAAATCAAATCTTTCGTCTCGAAATCTTTTGAGAACGAGCCGATGATCCGATTATACGACCGAGGGAAGAAAGTTATTTCGGCAAGAATTTTGTTCGTTGGAATCTCGCGGAACGAGAGAATTAAAAAAAAAAAAAAAAAAAGGAAAAGAAAGAAAAACTTGAAATTTTTATTCCGTTTTCCAGACAGAAACGGACAGTTTATGAAAAAGGTGGTGAATGGGACAGATTAAATTTTGCTCGCGGTAGAAAATTGCTTTTTTGTCGGGAGGGGTTGTCGCACAACCGACCGCCACAAAATGGTCGCGCCCAGTGTGGAAACGAAGTTCTCAGCGGGCAGACAATTTCTGGTTGGCCGACAATCGGTTCGCGTTTTCGTTTCGCGGTTTCGAAACTTTTCGCCCGAACCGGAAGATACGCCTCTCTGATTGCGCGCACGGTAAATAAGCGAGGGCAGAAAGGGAGCGGAAGGAATTACTTGGCGCTATTGGTTGGCCGAGGGAAAACTTGTACCCTCCATGACCGTTCGAAAAAAGTTTCACGCGCGAAACTTTCCGATTCCGAAACGTTTTACGATCGGCCAACTTGCGAGATTACAGTTGGCCAACAACGCGGAACGATGTGCGGTGACTCGGTTCCAACGACGAATCACGTTAGTTCCCTCGCTCTCTGCTTAGTACTTTTCGTTCAATAATAATTTTTTACTTACACGTATGGAAATATGAGAAAGAAAGGGATCGAGTAATTCTTTTTAATAACTCTCTCGATCCAATTTTCTTTGGTAAAGTTCGGGAATATTCGAAGAAAATTCCGAGATACATCGATCACACTTTCTTCTCAGCTCTCGGATACGTTGCGAGATTAATGTTAACCGTAGAGAATCGTAGTTTCTCGGCTTACGGAAACTCCGGAGCTCGCGAAACAATCTCAATTCGAGTTCAGTGTCGAGTGGAACAGTGACGAATACTCGACACGGTCTACCCGGCGTATGGCCATTTCGAATTCCGCTATACCTATTTCTCTGCTCGGTCTTAACGGAAATTTAATGGCGGGGTTACTTGATTACCTCTGCTAAACTGAACGAATGAGCCGTCATATCAATTATGCCCGGTTAAATGTAGGAATTAAGGAGATTGCACACCGCTATGGTGGGATAAGATGGCGGGAATTAAAATTCTTTCTTATCGCGAGATTTCGAGAAGGAAACTATTCTTCGACATTATCCCCAAGTGAGAAATACGTTATCCTCAATTGTATGTCTGTTCAATGATGGATGGTGAAAGGGAAACGTTCAATTTTCAATCCCAATAATTAATCCACTCCTCTCTCTAATTTGCGTTGACCCCGACATACATACTCGTCCACCGCAACGTTCGAAGGAATTTGTTAAGAAACGAGGATGGAAACAGTTCCCATCCGAAATAACGGCAGCCAGCAGCAACTGGCAGCCCTCCAGTTGCCCAAGTTTTGACAATTTAAATGCATGCGGATAAAATCGGGTTCCTCGAACGAGATCGGAAAATCGTTGGCGAAGAAAAGCGAAAGAAGGTTGAAAGAAACGAGCTCGTGCCTCCTGGGATGAGGAACAAGATCAGGCCAAGCGATACATTCGGATCCGCGGATTACTTTAACGAAGTCCTGCTGCATTTATAAAAGGGGTCTGATTAAACCCGAGAGATCTTGGCGATATCTCGAGCCGGTGGTCGAAAACGAGTCGACCTTTTTTTCAAGCCAGAGGAAGAGGAAGCGGAGAAAAAGCCGGCGGTGGTTTTAAGTAAATAAGAGTGGACAGTAAAGACTGTGGGAAATAAGCTTAATAAAATAACGAGGTGAAACCAGACGATCTTTCCCGCTCCGGTTATCATTTTAAAGAAGGGGTACAAGTAACAGCTGACATTCCACTCCACCGACCCGTCCACCGACGTCTTAATTGAGGATTTTTCGAGCACTCGCTCGAGTGTGTTCTCGACTCGATTCGAAAATAGAGAGTTAATGGCACGGTGGTTAATGTCCTCGTGAAAACGTGGAGGGGAGAAAAGAATTTAAATTAAAAGTGATAGCTTTGAATTCTTCCTTCCTTCCTTTTTTTTTCTTCTTCCCTCTTTCCAAGAGGAATAAAAGTTTAAGAAAATGAGATTTCGTAGCAATTTTGCTCGTCGCGATTTCGCACAACGTTTTCAGAGAATTTTGCAACGATTCTATCTCCACTTCTTTATTCGTAACAAATGAGGAATTTCCTTGTAACGGCCCGCTCTGAGTTTCGCTCGATCAATTATTCTTTCGGGTCGAGGAGAGAAACGAGGGGTAAGGATAAAAAGCCACCCGGTTGCTTCCCTTTAGATCGAGCAAAAAGTTTCGTGCCTCGGCCTGGAATTATTCCCGCGGATGAAACCGCGACAAAAGAGAGAATCGGTTAAAACCAGATCTATTGTCGCTCTTAACGTACCTTATCTTCCTCCTTTTATACCTCTCTTCAGAAAATGCTCTTCATACATATATATATAGGCGCGTTCGTACGTAAAATTCACGTATCGCGGTTCGAAATTAAATTAATGAATAACGAAAGAGAAACTTGGACGTAGGTTTTCTGAACAAAAGTTGTAATATTATTAATCATAAAGCATATCGGAGTATCACGCGTGCGAATCTCAAACGGAATATTGCAGCAGGAGATGGATAAAATTTTAACCGGGTTAAGAATAAAATTACTCGAATAATTTTCAAAGAGAATATACCGTAGGCAGGAATAAATGTTATTTTAAATAAAATTGTCACCTAAAGTAACTTTTCAATCCGACTTCTGTATCGCGGTTTGAATACAGAAATACAATAACCACGCGAGTGGAATAAGCGCGTGACTGGTCAGGCCTCGAGACCTGCTCGACGAGACAATCGCTTTAAATCGATAAAACTCCACGGTCGAAATTTCAATTTGTAGAAATTCACAGCAACAACTTCCATTAAAACCGCATTTAAAACAATTTCCAAACTATTCTCTGCCGTCTGTCGAAATTGATGAAAAAGAAATCCAAAAATATTCTATTCTTTCGCTTCTCTCTCTTTTTTTTCTCTCACTCCGCAATTCCGAAAGATTGAAGAAGCCTTTGTTGTTGTGTCGATACTTTCGGAGATAGACTCTCCCTTCCCTCGATTACACGGTTTGTTCCAACGTCACGTTGTCACGCGCAAAGGACATACGATTCGCACGAGCGCGAGACTCGCGTGTTCCTCGTTTGTTTGAACACGCCGAGTGAAAGTTACGGAACCGACTTTCGTCTACGCCCCAAGAAACGTATCCCTCCTGGAATATTATGTCGGGAATGAAGAGGCGATGGGGTTGCATCGTGACGCTTTTGTAACGAGGTCGAGTTTAATGACGAGGAAAGGAAGCGTTCCAACGTCCACGTGGAACGGAACGCAAATTTTCACCTACCATTTTCAAACCATCTCCACCTGGTAATTTTTCTCTCCCTCTTTTTCCCTCTCTCTTTCTTTTCTCTTTTTTTTTTTTTTTAATTACTTCGCGGTGAAATTAACTCGAAGCATACGTTTTTCCTTTTTTTTTTTCTGTTAACGTCAAATC